GGAGTGAGTTGGTCGTGCGCACTCAGATGGTCAAGTCAGTTGGAAAAGTGATTATATGGGAGTGTGAGAACTATAGACGTGAGTTTCCAATATAAAAAAGGGGCGTCGACTTTGGAGAATAATAGATAAAACAATGATATGGACAAATTATAGCTTGAGAGCCTAAACTTGCATTACCTTCAAATGGCACTAAGTTTGAGCCTTTATAGTAAAAAAAGATGAATGAGAGTCTTTGGATGAAGAGGTACGTGGCCTCATCCATGCAGTTGATGCCTCTTGTTTTAGACATCAATCAATCAATCATAAGCCTTAAATCTTGATGCCACTTTAGCATCTATAATTCCTAGCTTGTGGCTTAATAGAAACGATGGCTGTGGCGGTGAATTGTCACATCAATTACATATCAAAAGGCTGCCTGGATGATCTTGTTGAGCTTCTTTTGTAGCCTTGCCTCTATTAGCGGTTCGACTCTTATGAGTCAGTACAATTAAATGGGGTCACCAAATATATTGGCTCAGTCGCCAAAACGGGTTCAGCCAGATCAGCCTTATAATATGGTGCGAGGGCCCTACACTTGCTTGCCAAGTAGGATATTTTGGGCCTTGTGAAGAAAAGTGTAACAATAGTCCCTAAAGTCCACGCATGATTATTTATATAATGCATGGATTTTGAGTTTTTGCAAAGAAAAAGAAAAAGGTGAGCATAATAATATAGTCCCTGAAGTCTATGGATGATTATTCATATAATGCATGGACTTCTAAGTTGGTGGTGTAACGTGTGACTAGTGGATGCAAATGGAACCAACCGTTAGGTGAATGAAGAGAGTGATGCCCTTGCCAAAGAAGACGAGCCTGTTGAATTAACTAAAGCGAGTAGTAGGGCTGAATGAGGCTAAGGCGAGGCCCTTACTACAAATGGTACCTTGGTGAAGCAACTGAAGCCTATAATAAGGTTGAATGAGGTGAAGGCAATGCCTTTTCTAAAGAGGGTGAGCCTATTGAAGTGAATAAAGCCTGTAATGAGGCTGAATTAGGTAAAGGCGAGACCTTTGCTAAAGAGGGCGAGCCTATTCAAACGACTAAGGCCTGTTGGGGCGCGTGCCGTAATGATTTGAAAGCATTGCCTATTTCCAAGGTGCAATAGTAGTGTGGTATGGAGGTTTTCCATACCCGTATTTTGTGCACATTTACTGCACAATGATGTTGATTTGTTACATAGCAAGAATCCCCCTAACCCTAAATGAATACATAGCATGAAGCCATCTGAGTCATTGATTAAAATTTTGGTAGGCACCTTTTGGTTTTAACGTGCTTGATGGAAGTAAAGGTATAAGTTTGGGATTTCATTAGGGCTAATCTAAAATGGAGAAGATTTACTCTGCATGCATATAGAAAAGGCGGACTTTACCATTTTCTCTCTTTTCACTCTGTTAAAATTCTAAATGCCTGAAAAGTGTCCTAAGAATTCCCTAAGATCCCCAGCCATCATCATCGAATTTTCGATGACCGCCTCTGTTTTTAGTCCTTTAGCGGGTTTGTAATTTGATTAAGTAACATAATCTCGTCCCATTTCAAGTTAGTTGCATCGAATGGCTTCATCTTCAAAGAGAAACACCAAAAGGGGTTCTACTGAGAGAGTGAATATAGGTTGGTTTGCCTCCATTAATTCCAACTGAGAGGATTATGGAGGCAATGGGGAGTCCACGAAGTGCATGTATGATGAAAAAGAGCCCTATAGATTATAGTGTAAAGAGAGGGTTTCCTTGTGGCCAATGTGTGTCGAGGATAGTGAGTTGGAGACCTTGAAGGAGCAATATAGGATCCCTGACACCATTAAAATGTTTGTTCCCATACCCTGATGAGTGAGCTTGTTATCCTACGGAAGGTGAGTTGCAATGAGCGCAGAGATATTGAGTGGAGGGATTAAACTGTCCCTACACATACTCTTCATATATATACTTAGTCNATGAGTGAGCTTGTTTTCCTACGGAGGGTGTGTTGCAATGAGCGAAGAGATTTTGAGTGGAGGGATTAAACTGTCCCTACACATATTCTTCATATATATACTTAGGCGATACAATTTAGATTCCACCCACCTAGTTCTGAATGTATGGAGCCAATTGGCAATGGCTTTTCTTCTTTGAAAGGAGGTCATTCTTAGTGAGAATATGCCTCCCCACGTCTTTCAAACAATTTTTCAGCTGCGAACCTCTAGTGAGAGAGGTGATTGTAAGGGGTGGTATTGTATGAACCCTTAGGGTCCGTATTCACCCTTCGTTTAGGATACTTCAACCACGATAAAGAACTACAAGTCATCTTGGATCTGAGTTAGGAGTCGCTAGCAGAT